ATCTTGCTCTAGGCATTTGGCTTAGTGGGCAATGATGTCTTTGTGTAAAAAACAAAAAGTGGTCTCTTCGTTTGAACCAATGCCTGCCATCTTAGATGGGGGGATAAGGATGTAATCCACAAGGCTGGTAGATGGTGGCCTATATTTCGGTCAAAATCAGCACTTTGGAACTAACTGCACAGCCTTCTACTGTCGCTTCTAAAGCAGGACTTTGGGCATCAACTCATGATATAAGTAAGTCTCAATCCTTTATCCAATTTTATTTGTGAGAGAAGGTAAACAGCTTATTGGAAAACTTCCCAGGGGCAACATTCTCTCCCAAGGACACATAAGTGACAGTGGCTTAGCGGACAAATAACTAGAGAAAAAAAAAAAGGAGATAAAAAATGAGGAATTAAGAGCACAGGACAGTGGTGAAATGCAATGCTGAGTATAAATTCAATCTATTTTAATGGATTAATAATGAAATCTCAAACTTTGGATGGCTAAATACAAGATTTTGCATGTCTGCTTTCCATACTAGACTCAAATATCTGAATAGCAAATTTGTTCTATTAATATCTCTGGTCCTGAAAACTAGTTTAGTGTCTGATACATAATAATATGTTATGTTTGGTAGCAAGTATTAATAAAATGATGGAAAGATGATAGATGCAGGATAGATTAGATAAATAATAAACAGATAGATGGGTAGGTAGGTAAATACATACATTGAGATCACGATTAATTCAGTAAAGTTTGAGCCTTCGTCTTGGGCCAGAAGAAAGGGTTAAAGTTGTGCTTCGATTTTTGTAGCGGAGTTCTATTTTAAGTGATCTACAATTCCATTAAAAAATAAGTTTTATGTATTTAACTTTTTGAAACCCTATTTTGTTTTGAAAAATTATCTTTTATTTAGAAGGATTTAGGACTTGTTTGGAGTAAAAATAGGTAACAATTCTGGAACCCTAGTATACTCTTCAAAGCTTTTAATTGTATTTTTTCCAATTCATTTTATTCTTCACTTAACAAAATTTTGTTAAATGTTTACTATGTGTTACATTCTACAGAGACTCAAGGAGCTCTCAGTCTAGTGACTTTGATAAACAAGGCAATATATTTGACACAGAGAATACTCTATGACAAAATTTGTGCTTGGTATGTTACAGGAAGAGAGAAGACAAGAAGCCATCTTATCAGGGGAGAGAGGGAACCTGGGAGAGAATTCCTAAAAGAAATCGACACCTTGAATTTTGGCTCTTTAGTGGTTATCCAAGTGAAGAAAAATACAGAGAGTAAGACATTGTAGGACAGCAAAACATGCTCACACAAGCTCAAAGGAGATTTAGATCAGTACATTAGAATGCTTGGCCCAGAGGAGAGCTGGAAGGAATGATCCTGAGAGGCTGGAACCTACTTCAGCACAGATTTTCCGAGACATACTAAGGACTTTGTTGTGTATCTTGAAAATAATTGAAAATTCTGAATAAGTTTTAAAGTACGGACATGTCATAATAAGAATACATTTTAAAAATGTAGCCCTGGTGGGAGCAATGCTAGAGGATGAATTGTAGAAAAAGGAGACTGGGAGCCTGGAGACATTGATTTAAAATAGCAGTTCAGCATATGGACAACTACAAGCAGGAGAAATGGAATTGAAAAACAATTTAAGCCGGGCGCGGTGGCTCAAGCCTGTAATCCCAGCACTTTGGGAGGCCGAGACGGGCGGATCATGAGGTCAGGAGACCATCCTGACTAACACAGTGAAACCCCGTCTCTACTAGAAAATGCAAAAAAACTAGCCCGGCGAGGTGGCGGGCGCCTGTAGTCCCAGCTACTCGGGAGGCTGAGGCAGGAGAATGGCGTGAACCCGGGAGGCGGAGCTTGCAGTGAGCTGAGATCCGGCCACTGCACTCCAGCCTGGGCGACAAAACAATTTAAGGAAATAGAGCCAAATGGTTTCTTGATTGCTTTGATGTGGACATCATCTTATAACTTGAATAACAGATTTTATTATATTGACATCCACAAAGTTTAGAAACACAGGAAAAAGAACAGATTTTGGTAGTATGTATAAAGTAAGATGATGAGTTTGTGTTCTGAGTTCAAAATACTTGGAAGATATCCAGGTTAAGATGTCCTGTGGACAGTTTGATGTAGGTCTTTCACTTATAAAAAACTTGGAGAAAATGTATAATTGACACATGCATAGTAGTTGAAGTTGTGGATGACTTTCCTTCCTATTACCCAATGTAAAAACCTTTGTTAATTGGCTACAGTTACTTTCTACATTTGGGTTTCATTCTATTTTCCAAATCATTCATCTTTACAATAACAAATGGTATGACAATGCCTGTAACTAGCAGACTAGAGATGGTGGGTAAGAGATAGTGTTAGAATCATTTAAATTTCCAGAGTATATAGGATGTACAACAATTTATACTGGGAAAGGACTGAAATTTTTTCTTCATGATGCAACTTATGGTCACACTGTCAACCAGCATCCAAAACTACTTCCAGAGTATGACTGCCCTAATGGCTTGACTCTTGCTGCCATTAATATGGGCTTGCTTGGTGGTCCTCTGACAGCGTCACTGCCTAATGACAGCTCTCTGACTTACCTGTCTGGTTTCTCTGCTCACTGTTAATCTTCAGCCCATTGGCTTGATTCCCTTGATTCTGGAGTTGATGTTGTCGGAATAGATAAATACGTGTGTCTCACCATCCATTCATTTTGAGTCCTTGACACATAACAGATGCCCAGACCATGTAAGCAATATCTTAGCAAAGTATCAGAAAACTAGAAGAATTTTTTATAATCAGGCTGACTTTGACAGTGATTAACTAGATTCAAGTTTCTTGTCCAGACCTGGTATCCATGAGAAACAATTATTTTATCTGTCAAGCTGAGTTTTAATTAATCTTAATTGAGAAGTTTTCCCCTCAAAGTTTCTAGAAATTCTTGTCATATATCTAGCAGTCAGGTATATTCTCCTACAACTAAAAAGTTAACCATACCTAACCATATCATTTAACAAATAAATAAGAGAGAAGCAGAATTTGAAAAACATGAATGACAACACAGAGCAAGAAAAGGAGGCACATATACACAAATGATGCCTGCAATAACGTTAAAAAAAGATCAGGAAACAAAGCAATTGTAGGATTAAAACAAGAGGTAAGAGGTGAACAACCAAGATGATAGAAGATAGAAGGAAGAGAAAAATATGCATCTTTTAAAGTCAAACACTTGGTTTGATTTTTTTAACATCAAAAACAACAATTCTGCTTTGACCGATTAAAAACAAACTGGGTCAGCATTACCCAGTAGATATCTGTATCTATTTTATCTTCAAAGATAGTTTCAAATATTTTGCCTGGGGAAAAAAAAATCCATTCCAATTTTAGTTCCTGTTTTTTGAACATATTATCTTACATCATTTGAGATGGAATTGCTTCCTTACTATTTTTATGTACTTACTAGTCAATCATTGAATGGTATACTCAGTCTTTCACAAGCATTTTTCAGGTGAACATTCAAATAAACCAGTGATTATTATGCCAAATATCATGAAAGTAAATGGCCTAGATTTTCTTTCTTATTTCTCTTTTATAAGATATAATGAAATATTGATTATTTGTATATGGGAAAATACTTTTAGGTCCCAAATTATCTAGGGTAACCCAGTTCCTATGCTAGCCATATGAAATATTTCCTCAGTACAGCATTGTTTAAAACTTGCTGTCCATTTAAAGTGATTCAACTGGGCTCTGAAACCCTGGATTTATTGCCAGGCTACTATAATCTTCTCTCCTTTGCACATGGTGAGGACAACCCACCTTAACAGTGATGTATACTTTGTCTTGCCAATGGTATGGACTGGTACGGGTGTAAGAAATGTTCTTGGGGAAAGCGTGCTATTTTCTGGTTCTCTATTGACTGATTATATTCTTAAGTATACGTAAAAGCACTTGAGTGAGCTGTAATGCAGAGGTCATTAAAAATAAAGCAGAGCCTGTAATCCCAGAACTTTGGGAAGCTGAGGCGGGTGGATCACTTGAGGTCAGGAGTTCGAAACCAGCCTGACCAACATGGAGAAATCCCGTCTCTACTGAAAATGCAACAATTCGCCATGTGTGGTGGCGGGCACCTGTAATCCCAGCTACTCATGAGGGTGAGGCAGGAGAATTGCTTGAACCCAGGAGGCAGAGGTTGCAGTGAGCCAAGATCACGCCACTGCACTCCAGTCTGGGCAACAGAACAAGACTCTGTCTCAAAAAAATAAATAAATAAAATAAAGCAGAATCTGGAAGAATGATGTGGACTTTCTAATTGTTCCTGAGTGATTTGACAATATAATACAAGCATAACTACTAGAAAGATTTGCAGATAGAAGGGCTATTTATTTACTCTCCATTCCACTTGCAGATTCTCAATTAAGAGTAACATCTTTCTACAGACTGTGTTTGTGTCATTCATCCCAAGATGTTACATAACAGGCAGTGATTTATCAAAGTTAAACCTATTCCTTAATTCATGCCAACATTTCCATGTATTTCCTACAATAATTAAAAATAAACACAATAAATTTCGGAATTTAAACATTATAAGCACTTACATTGGTTATTTACCATGGCTTGTCTATTAGTCCTGTTCTAGAGTTCCAGAAAGCATACTACATACTTTGCATATTTTTGAGTTATTACCCACCCAAATACTAAAATTACTTTAACATGAATTTCCATGGATTACTGTCTAAAGATGGGGCCAATTGTTTAGAAAATATAGTAAACTTTGAATATGAGTAACATTGGAAAAAACTGAAAAACAAATCAACTCTCTGTTATACTATTTTAAAAGATCGTATCATAGTTGAAGTATTGCTAGAGCTGCAAGGATATTTTGATGGGCCTTGGAGATTCAGAGATTCCTGTGTATGAGTAAAATAATATAAATTCAACACCTATTGTTACTATATGTTCCTAAAACAGTGAAAACCAACTGAAAACAAAAGTTTGATTTACTTAGTTAACAAAAATTTATTGCAAGAGATATTTTTCACTGAATTTACAGTTTCAAGGAACATGGTACAAAACATAGTGCCATCAGCTTTGTCTAAACATTAAATAGGTGCAAATACACAAAGATTAAGAAAAACTGAGGGAGCATACTTTACAACATAAATTAGAGTACTATAAATATATTTTATGTACATTATACATACTCTTAATACATCATTTTAATATACAGCATATATTGTATTGATTTTCAAACTATTCAGTGCTTTAATAATATTATATATCAGAAACTTAGGGATTTATTTGCATCATTACACTTACAGTAAATGATTTCAAACCAGTGAGGCCATATATCGACCAGTTTATTTCCACCAGTTAAATAGCCATGTACCCACATAGATGAACACTTACGCATATAGCAATAGTTTTCACAAGAGTATTGTTTTTCCCATTATGGTGATGACTAGAAGAGAGGTTGCAAAGAGATGACAGTAGGGTGTGGGGAAAGCAGTGAAGGAAAGAGCGCATGGGGTAAAGATGGGAAAGCGAGATGGCTAGGATGAAGAACAGAAGCTGGAATGATTGGCATCTGAGGAGGAGCAACAAAAGTTGGCTGGTTCCCAGGACAAAGCCTCGGTCCTACTGGTCCTACTGAGAGCTGAGGTAATGAGGTTCTGGTGAGAGCTGGGATTTGGGAAAGAAACTGTTGGTGTGGCTGAAGCACTTTAAAGGTTCCTGCAGCTGCGGCTGCAGCGGCAGCTGCAGCAGCTGCAGCGTGCTGCTGCAAGACAGTGTGATGGATAGTGGTTACAGAGGTAGAACATAAGGACTGCTGCAAAGGCAAAGGCTGCAGAGGTGTGCTAGGGGGTGGGAGGGCAGCTGAAGGAAAGGTAAATTTAACCTTGTTGGCCAGCATGTTTGGCTGTAGAATGTGCTGGTAGACCTCACATGGTACGTTTTTGAATTTGTCATGGTTTTCTAGTGGGATCAATAATGCTTGCTCTGGTAAAGCTAATGGAGCCAGGATTTGCTCAGTTGTTACAAAGGTATGACCACTCACATGTGCTTCCTTGAATGGTAATGGTGGTTGTGTGTTAAGGATTCCTGAATTACAACGCAGCCACTCAGTTGGCGTCTCATTCATCCTTCCTTGTGGAAGGGCCTCAGCCAGTTCATAATGGCAAAGATAGGATTTAGGCGGTGACTGTCTAAAGTTCCGTTCAATATTAGGCACCTTAAGAGGAATTTGCTTTTCATTAATATTTATATTCTCACTTCTTTCTTTGTGTTCAAGCAAGGTATTGTCAAGTGCTTCTTTTGTTGGAGCACTAGCTATATAGACAGATGTGGTGGGATCATTAGAAACATCTGACAATTCACCAGAAGTGGTCTCCATTTCTAAATGCTTAGTTTCACTATTGGTTTCAGAAGGAAGGAGATTGCTAGGGTGGAAAGACAGTTTGTTTCTTAATTGGTTTGTTTGTTCTGAGTTCATTTCGATTTTTGCAACTTCCTGTGGTTTCATTTTCTCTTTTTTGTCTTCACTTATTAACCTATCCAGAGGACTTAAGGAAGAATTGTCTTTCATGGGATAATCTGTATTTTCTTTGAGTTCTAAAGTTTCAAATCCGGGATGGAATCTGCCTCTTTTTCGCCTCCGTTTCTTTTTAGGTTTACAGGGAGCAACTGAAGTACTTGGTGGCCTCAAAAATTCTTCTGGTAAATGATTCTGTCGATTCAAACTTTCATCTGAAGAATAAGAATGTGAATGTTGTCTACGTTTTCGATAGAATCTTTCTGATTCATTCATGACAGAATTGTAACCTCTTTTAACAGCCTGATTCTGACTCACGCATTTCATATCATGTTGAAGAACTAAGCTTCTGTGATCCTGACTACAACTTGACATTTTGGTTTTCCAACAACAGTAAGTTCTAGAATATGTTAAATTATGTTTCCCAGAATGTATCATTCTTGGATTTGATTGTCCATTGAAAAGTATTGTGTTCTTTTTACACTGGTTTTTAGAACCGATAGTATCATAAGTGTTGTATTCGGTATTCCATGTTTTACACATTTCTTCATTGTCACTTAAGGATATGGATTCTGATTTGGGCCTTTTATCAAGTAGCTGATGTGAGTCTAATAATTGCTCTGCAGCTAAATACTGCTTTTCTGAAATTGGTTCCAGTAGATATTTCCCAGCATTCTCAGTGTAACTACTCTCTGCTTCCATTTTGCAGCAAGTTTCTGATTCTTTGGTTTTCTCCACATTATGATGCTGACATAACTTTTTTCTTTTTTTCTTTCTTCTACTTTTATGGAACCAGTATTCATGAGTCTCTTTCAACCTTATTTTGTTGTATTTTTCATCTAGAGTGCCCTGTTTTATTTGACTTTTAGTAAAATTATACTTTTCTGTTTCTCTGATCTTACAGGAAATATTTTTATACTTCTGACCCATATTCTCATTTTTTCCAAAATTACAACTACTGGAGAGAATATCATCAGCCGAAAGAGGAGTGACTTGGGTGTGTTTATTTTTGCTACTTCCAATTTCATAATCAGTGAGTCCTTCTGTAGATACATCCTTGCAATCTGAAACTGGTCCCATGCAAATATCTTCTTGCTTCTGCTGAGAACAAAGATCATTTAAAGCTGGCTTATTTTTATCTAGATTATTATTTACTTTAGTAGACTTGAAGTCAAAACATAGAGGATTACAGCTATAGGAAATTGATGGTTTAGTAGTTGTATAAACCAGCATTTCTGATGGCCACTGGAGAACTGTAGATCTGTGTTTGTTAAGGACAGGTACAAATGGCTCACATTGTCTTTTGCAGAAATTTGTTTTCTTATTTATAGTTATACTAACCTCTTCAGTATTTGAAGGGGCCACTGTCTTGGGATCATTTTTATTTTCAGCCTCAGTTGCGGATGCCTCGTTATGCTTAACATTTTCCTCTGTGGTAGCTTGCACAGATATGCAATCATTAGACATGTCAAGAACTGTGGATTTATTTCCTAACAACTCAGAACTGTTACCACTCACAGGTATGTCTTCATTAATAACAACACCCTCCAGTGGTATTTGATCTGCTAATGGGACTGAATTTTGACAATTATCTGCATCAGAAGATAACTGAAGTTGAAGTTTGCAAAATGAAGGTAATAATAATGTATCTTTTTCACTAGAGACTTCTTTTATCTCTTGAGTTTGAACAGTTTCTTTGTCTGTGCACATTGCCTCTGGTGGGTGAAAAGAGTTAGTTTTCTCTTCAGAACTCAAAAGTACATCTGTTGGTGAAGATAGTTGAAGATGACAAGCACTGGGGACAAATCTACTTTTTCTGCTAAATCCTTTTCCCACTGAGGCATCATCACTGTATTCAGAAAACGCTGCAGCGGAGGACTCTAGCTTCACGGACGCTTTCTTTGGAAATGCAAAAGAAAAGCCGATTTTGTGTCTGTGAATCCCCTGGGCTTGATCCCCAACTTGGTTATTTTTTGCTGTATAATTATTTGCACTTTCTGGATCCTCAGCAACAGTGGTAGCATCTTTAGTATTCTCTTCACTATGAATCAAAGTATATTTGAAATCATGCTGGTTATTAACTGAATCCACAACAACTCGTTGGGAAATTTCATTTTTACAGTTTTCTCTCACAGTAACAGTTGTTGATTTGAACATGGGGCCACTTCCAGGAGCACTAGAGAAAGAAACAGAAGTGTTTGTTAAATAGCACACTTTTGAGAAAAAAAATAGTCAAGCACTTACATCTTTAAAAATTCATTAAAATATTTTTTTCAAATTTTTAAATCATTGTAACAGAATTGCCTTCATATGGTGTAAGTACTTTCCATGGTGCCACAATATCATTTATTTGTTTGTTACTGTTTGGAATAACTTGGAAATATTGTCCTGAAGTTGCTTTTATAGCTGTTAAGACCAATGCTGAGGATATATTCTTAACCAGTGTTATCTGACCAAAATTTTCTACCTTCATGGTCTCTTCAGTGATATTTTAGAGTGTTGTATTGTCTAAGGTAAAATTACTTTTGATTCACAAATACTTAATATCATTCATGCTATATGGCAAATATGATGAAAGTTCTAAACAAAACCCTTAATCATGACTTCAGAAAAGCTGGGAATTCAGTTGAACAATTCAATTCACCCAGCATTCACCAAGAGTCTACTATAGCCCAATTCGTATGGGCAAAGGTGACTAAGAGATAGTACTAGCTTGATGAGAGCTTTGACTCTTTTGAAATTGTTAGTCTCAATATTTAAAATTATCCTGAAGTTACACATTATATCATAACATGCAGTAAATGCAGGATAAAAGACAATTCCCTTAAAATATAATTTATTTGGAATTACATTACACTGTAGTGAGTTCTGATGAAAAGAACTATACTGACAAACACATAAATATAAGAAAACCCTAAACCTTATCCTTAACATAACAGAACAGAGTATGAAGAAAATTCCTGCTATTCTAAAATGTCAGTGTTTTAGATACTATAAGTGGACAAGAAAATTTTAGTTAGACATTTCCTTTATCTAACCACTAACACAATGTATTGCTTCATTGTTCTATCTGCTAAGTAACAGAACGACTTTCTTTTCCCATCTTTTGAAGCACAAAATTAATTGAAAAACCATGTATGTATGGCTGTGTGTATAATGTAAAACATGTGCTTTATACAGAAGATAATACTTTAGATAAGCAGTGTTGCTTTTTTGTGTTTATCATTATTAGCTCTAGTTCACTTAATATATCATAATTTATATTTGCAAATGCTATTTATAGAGCGTTAAGTTACATAGGTTTCATGATTCTCTATAGTTAAAATTTGTATAATTTTTTACGCATTACCATAAAATGTAAACATACCTGATTTGTGAAACTGAACAGCAGTAACGTCTGTTTTTAACAGTTCCAAGTAGGATTCCAAATACGTATACATTTTATTTTGTCTTTTACAAATTTGGCATCTCTAACAATGTTTCGATGTGTCAATGTATCACATAATATTATTCAGCAAAAAGTAGATTTCGAATGAAGTAATTTTTGTATAGACAATAACAAAAGAGAACTTATTTATTGGAGAAACAAAGACTACTTTTAAAAAGTCTTCTTTTTAATAGCTTTGCCCTGGCTTGAATTGTAAAGCCTGAAATACAATACTGTTCACACCTAATAGCTGCTCACAGTTAGAAGCAGGTCAAAGTTTAAGAGTTGTGAGCCTCTAACAGCCCAGTTACAGATTATTCACAGCACACTTAATGTTGGTCTGCTTCTCAAGCAAAATTCTTATCCTTTTTTAGAAAAGGAATCTTAAACATAATTTTAAATAGAAGTTCTCCAAATTTTCATTTTAAAAAGTATCTCTAAAAACTCTTTTTGTCAAAAGGTTCATAAGATACTGCCTTGCTCTCTTCCTCAATCAAATATTTTACCCCAAATCAAGAAATGGGATAGCTTTCAACTAAGATAGCTTAAATAACAACATAAAGTTTATTTTTTAATCCAAAATTACAGTAATTTTGGCTTTTTATTGAAATGTGCATTAAACAGGTGTTTGCATAAAATTCTAATTCAAATTACTGTTTACAGCCTACAGAAGGCCATGAAAACATGTCTGCCTTATTCTGGGTACAGAAATAAATAGATTTGTGCCCTTTATTTCTGACTCCCCCATACCCCTTTTTTGGTCATGTTTTAAGAAAACATACGATTTCATTGGATACTCACCATACAGTTTCCTTTCTTAGCTCAGCCAGCTTGTGCAGGCGTTGGAGTGCCTTTTCCTGTTTTCTTTCATCTTTCCTGGATTTAGATGCTACATTTCGAGCAAATTCCCTTTGTTTCAGTTCCTTGAGCCTCTGTTAAAAAATGTTGGAAATGGTTAATTATATTTTGGTCTATAGCAGTAAGTAAAGTTTCATTGTTATTGTTGAAATTTTCCAATGCATCATCTTTGACCTCATCGAAAGGTAAACACAACATTCATGACAATCCACTTCTAACAAAAATATTTTCTTGTACTTTGGCTCGTGAAAAAGCCAAAGCATATTATTACATCATAGTAAAATTTATATCTATACCTTAGGCAAATTGGAATTGAAAACTTTAATGTCTTCATATTGATTGTTTCCTGCTGTTTCTCCGTGTAATTCAGATGAAGCATTTGTGTCTTATAAATCCCAAATTTCCAAAAAAATTCAACTTGCTTATATATTTGAGTTACATACAGTACGTTTTCTTATATTTTGATGTACAGCGTATTAGAAAGTTATCTGTTCCTTTGTGTTTATGTTCGTGTATGTGTGTGTATGTGTGTGTGTTTGTGTGTGTTTAAGTGAAAAGTATATTAGGAAAGTAAATGAATAAAGAATGGCTACTCCATAGGCAGAGCAGCCCTTTTTGTGTGTTCTGAGAGTGCATTATTTATGTTAATCCGTTAAGACAAATGATATCTCCTGATGTGATTTAAAACAACCCCTTCTCTCAAGCAGCAGGCACATTTCAAGATATTGGAAGAAAATTAGTACTTACATTGGGTATTATCTTTCATCTGTGTTAAAGAAGTTCATTTTCTGGGTTGATGGCAAGAAAAACAGCATGCCAACTCGAACATAATTGCTAAATAGCCATGTGTGTGGCATAATTTTAGAGACATCAAAATTGTCTTGTGTGCCAAATATTTTCACTATGTACTTTCATGATGTGTACAGTTATTAAAAATAATAAAAGTACTATTTTCCCTAATGGTTCATGTTGTTATGCAATTGTAATATGTCAGAATCTTGAGTAGGACTCACTTACACTAGTGATATAATGTGGCTGTGTCCCCACTCAAATCTCATCTTGAATTGTAGCATCCATAATTCCCATGTGTGGTGTGAAGTACCCAGTGGGAGGTAATTGAATCATGGGGGTGGGTCCATACTGTCATTGAGATAGTGAATGAGTCTCATGAGATCTGACGGTTTTATGAAGAGGAGTTTCCTTGCTCATGCTCTCTTGCCTGCCTCCATGTAAGACATGACTCTGCTCCTCCTTTGCCTCCCACCATGATTGTAAGGTCTCCCCAGCCATGTGCAACTGTGAGTCAATTAAACCTCTTTCCTTTATATATTACCCAATCTCCGATGTGTCTTTGTTGGCAGCATGAGAACTAACTAATACGGTAAATTGGTGCCGGGTAGTGGGGTGCTGCTCTAAAGATACCTGAAAATGTTGAAGTGACTTGGGAACTGGGTAACAGGCAGAAGTTGGAACAGTGTGGAGGGCTCAGAAGACAGGAAGATATGGGAAAGTTTGAAACCTCCTAGAGACTTGTCAAATGGCTTAGACCAAAATTCTGATAGTGATATGGATAATAAAGTCCAGGCTGAGGTGGTCTCAGATGGAGATGAGGAACTTGTTGGGTACTGGAGTAAAGGTTACTCTTGTTATGCTTTAGCAAAAAGACTGATAACATTTTGCCCCTGCCCTAGAGATTTGTGAAATTTTTTGGAAGAAACTTCTAAGCAGCAAAGCATTCAAGAGGTGATTTAGGGGCTGTTAAAAGCATTCAGTTTTATGTATTCACAAAGTTAGGGTTTGGAATTAGAACTTATGTTTAAAAGGGAGGCAGAACATACAAGTGGAAAATTTGCAGCCTGATGATGCGATAGAAAAGAAAAACCTATTTTCTGAGGAGAAATTCAAGCTGGCTGCAGAAATTTGCATAAGTAACAAGGAGCCAAATGTTAATGGCCAAGATATTGGGGAAAAACATCTCTGGGGCATGTCAGGGTTCTTCACAGCAGCCCGTCCCATCACAGGCCCAGAGCATTGGGAGGAAAAAGTAGTTTTGTGGGTCAGACCCAGAGCCTTGTTGCTTTGTGCAGTCTCAGGCCTTAGTGCCCTGCATCCTAGCCGTGGGTAAAAGGGGCCAATGTACAGCTCAGTTCATTGCTTCAGAGGGTGCAAGTCTGAAGTCTTGGTGGCTTCCACATGGTGTTGAGTCTGTGGGTGCACAGAAGTCAAGAATCAGGGTTTGGGAACCTCTGCCTAGATTTCACAGGATGTATGGAAATGCCTGGATGTCCAGGCAGAGGTGTGCTGCAGGGGCAGAGCCCTCATGGAGAACCTCTGCTAGGGCAGTGCAGAAGGGAAATGTGGGTGGGAGCCCCCACATAGAGTCCCCACTTGGGCACTGCTTAGTGGAGCTGTGAGAAGATGGCCACTGTTCTCCAGACAGCAGAATGGTAGATCCGCTGACAGCTTACACCATATGCCTGGAAAAGCCACAGACACTGAACACCAGCACGTGAAAGCAGCCAGGAGGAGGTCTTTCCTGTGCTGTTCTAGTGATAGTGAATAAGTCTCATGAGATTCAATGGTTTTATAATGGGAAGATCCCCTGCACATGCTCTCTTGCCTGCCACCATGTAAGACATGACTTTGGTCCTCCTTCACTTTCCGCCATGATTGTGAGGACTCCCCAGCCATGTGGAACTGTGAGTCAAACCTCTTTACTTTATAAATTTCCCAGTTTCTGGTATGTATTTATTAGCAGCATGAGAATGAATTAATACCACTAATTACATTTTAACAAACTAATTGGATAAAGTTTTAATAAATACCTTATACATATGCACTTATGTGTACCAGGAGCTTAGAACAATACCTAGTCTATAAAATTTCTGTTCCATAAATATTTTTAAATTATTGTGTAGTTCATTTAGAATCTCCAAATTATAAATGTTCCATCTATTTTAAAAAGTTCATCACTATGAATAAATAATAGTAGGCTACTGATGATTCTGGATTGTAAATCTGAATTTCCCCAATGTAGCATGAGGTAGCTCAAGTGACATATAACACTGACATAGTTAAAGCTTCAAATGATCTCTAATATTTAAATTGACATGATTTATAGAAAGAGTCTTTGTATGTGTATATATCTATATATTTTTGAATTACACAAAGATATTTCAAGAATGCTCATTTGCACGGACATATTTGTATAGGATAAGACTTTTCAGAGAAGAATTTAGATGAAAGATAAATCATGTCATAAATGTCTCAGTTGTATAGATATTTCCCAGAAAGGAAAACTTTAAAATCATTTCCTTAATATGACTATTAAAATGGCTATAATTTTATAATATGCATTAAATGATTAATTGATTTTCATAAAACAGTTGTAGAATTACAGTATAATAGGTCAAGAATATTTTACTCATAAATTTTAGGTATACAGGGTCTTGGTCACTTTTATTTCTTAAAACCTTAAAGTAATATGAAAACTCATTCAATAAATAATTATTGAGCACTAGCAGCAGTCACTCTGATAAATGACCGAGATTTTTTTTTTTTAATTAAAGAAAATATTTTTACTTTCATTGTGTGTTTCTATGAGTGTATATGTGGGCAAGTGTTGTATATTTTACAGAAATAAGGAGTGAACATACACATTAAGAGATAACATCAATCACTGGTTGGAATATTCTTACAGTACCATGTATGAAGAGAGAGAAGTGCTCAAGAAAATCCTAAAGACAGCTACTTGGTAAAAGTGATATCTGTGCTGGGTTTTTAGGAATACAAATATTAACTAGAAAAAAGAGTTGGATGTTGAGGATGAGAATGTATATCAGGAACCATGAACAGCTTTGTACAAATACAGGAATCTAAGTTTTCTAAATTAAGATGTAAAAGAAGTAAAGTACCAGGTGAAATAAAGCAAGAAAGAGTTTTAATACCAGAGCTATTCAGCAAATGATCTTTGATTATTAGTTATAAATAGTTTTATTCTAAGAAGTACAGATAATTTATTTCCTACTAGTTCTTTAGAAAAGCTCCAGTCAACAAACCAAAAAGACAGACTTTACTGTTTTTGATAAAATCTTTAGTATAAAAGTTAATTGTTATTACATACTCACACACACACACACATATAATACACATATATAATACATAAAATACATGTAATAATCAATGGTTAAAAACAGTGGGTTTAAATTTCATTGGTAAGATAAAAGTGCAATGCTTCTAACGAAAAACAAACTGCATTTTCCAAAGAAAGCATGCAAAAATGCCAGGACTTTCACTATTTACTGTTTCAAAGCAACCATTGAGGTTTACAAATAATCTGGTTTCATTGACATAATCATTGAATATTGAGGAGTCAGTCAATTATTAAATGCCAATACTATTGTTATTTGTAATATAAGTGACCGATAGACATGGCTGGAAGCAGCTCCAGATTTAGATAACTGTGCCTATTTAAAATGTAAATTTAAAGAGGAGAGGCTAGATGATAGACTAGAAGTCTCCACCAATCATCTTCCCCCACCCCACAAGGATAACAATTTTTCCACACAAAAAAAGGCACATTCATAAGAACCAAAAATGAAGTGAGCACTCACAGTACCCGGGTTTAACTTCATTTCACTTAAAGAGGCACTGAAAAAGTAAGATAAACAGTCTTGAATAGCCAATGCCTCCCTTCTCCCAACCCCCCAGAAGTGGCTATTCTGCATGGAGAGAAAAATCTACGCACTTGAGAGAGTGAGAGAGAAACAATTGTGAGACATTATGTTGAACTCAGTGCTTTCCTGTCACAACAGAAAGCAAAACCTAACTGAACTCAGCTGATGCTCACCTATGGAGGTAGTATTTAAACCAGCCCTAGCCAGAGGGGAATGGACTATTACAGCAGTTGGAACTTGAGTTACTGCAAGCCTTGCCACCTTGGGCCAGAGTGCTCTGGGGCTCTCAATAAAGTTCAGCTTTATTTATTTAATCCTTATTTATTCAACTCATGGCAGTCTAGGCTGCAACTCTTAGGCAAGTCCTATTGTTGAACTGGGCTCAGAGCCAGTGGACT